GTGTCTTTACCAAACATATTTTTAAATTGGGGCTCAATGGTTCGCTTATATCCAGGGGTGCACATAACTTTCTCAGTGAGGTACTCAGATGAGGACCTGGAGTCAGTGTCTGGTACTCCAACTTCTGGCTCCACTCAAAGTTATTTGATGAAGCCCTCTGTATCGCGAAGGTCAACGGGGGCGGGGGGGCTAGTGGAGTACTTCAGGAAAGTCAACGGGGGGGGCTAGTGCAGTACTTCGTGACCACAGAGCGTGAACGTTATGATCAGCTGTTTTAGCGCAGTTCTCCATTTCTCCACGTTAACAGCAGCCCTGTCTGTGCACACGGAGACCGACTCTGTCGTCCGGTGATCTAACCGCCTTCTGGAAAAGCTTCACAAGTACGTCGGTACGCAAATGCGCTTTGTGACACAAGAGACGGTACGCATTTCAGATTGTTGCTGCGCATGCGTACCTGCGTACCAGTTAAGTGCACCCCTGCTTATATCCCTATTCATGTTGGAGCTGGGGCTTAAGGTTCATTATATTACATGTGCACTGATTTACAATTGAAATTGCAGTATCACCAAAATTATCCTCAGTTCATGTCGAGTTTGAAAAGTTTTGAAAATAATTCATGACTTAAAGCTGGGGTAGGTCATTTTGGAGAGACCAGCTCGAGTGCGCTAGAATTTGAAAATACACAGCCGGAAAGAATCTGCCACTTCCTCACAGAGCCCCTCCTCCAACACACACGAACGCGCACATGACCAATGAGGGCACGAGATAAGTTTGTGCACAGATGGAAGGCTGACAGGCAGTTAGGCCATCCAGTTATTTTAGCCGGGCTGGCTCAGATGATTGGTCGTGCTTTTTACAGCGCTACGGCTTCCACAGATGACATTTTTTTATGGATTTTTTGTCAAAGCACTTCAGATATTCATTGCTATCGGGACGTTAAGAGCATTCCATGGAATATAACAAAAGCGTATCTCGAGCCGGTTTCTAAAACTTACCTACCCCACCTTTAAATTCATATATATATTCATGGTGGCACAAAGTTAAAGTTGTACTTGCAAAACATTTGGAAATGGTGGGATCTTACAGCCAAGGAGGGTGAGGTGTTGAGTAGAGGGATGATAGGCTGTAGGAGGGGGGGCAGAGGATGAAGTCATGTGCCTGCAGAAGGCGCTCCAGCCGAGGTCAGATCCTGTTCATGGAAACCATCTGGCCAGCTCCATCTGAGCCACACCAAACATACAGTACTCTTGATCTTCCTTTCTATCTCCCTCACATTCCTCCAGCCTTAAAACCCACCTTCTGACCAATTTTCTCATCTTCCTCTCCCCCTAACCTCCCTGTCTCCTATCCATCACTTTACCTTTCACCCCACTGCTTTTCCTCCTCCTCTTCTCTCAAAATATATACTCATTAATGCAGGGCAGCTGCAGGGAGCAGTGTTACTTCGTTTTTCCATGGCAACGCTCCCTCTGTTTCAGCAGATCCAGTTTCAATTTTGGTAGCAACGTGCTCCTTTGCCAGTGCTGTACACATTTATGTGTTAAATAGAAGGACTTATTGCAAAATTCCTGAAAGAGAATCACTGGCAATTATGAATAGGGCCCCATTCTCAGGGGAGCAAAACAATGAGTTTAAGCAAGAGTAGAAGTAAAGCGTAGGATCAGGACACTGAGGGCAAGAGGCCGTTTGAAGATGTGCAAGGCCGAGGTGACAATAGCAGCTCAGCCCTTCAGCCCTAATGTGAAGAGACTTCTAAAGTAACACCACCTGCACAAATTGTAGCCTTGCAGGACCATGAGACTTAGTTGCCTCTTCAGGGAAAATAACACACTCTGTACCTCGTGTATACTGCGCTGATGATCTGTGCTGTATGTAACGTCATGCAGACTCCACCATCATGGGCCTGAGGGACTCTGTTTGGATGCTGTGTCTCTCTGACCTCACCATGCCTGTTTTAATGGTGCAAGACACTGGCTCCAACACTCTCACTCAATGTCCCTTTTTATACAGACTCTCTTGCTCTAATTTCATAACCACTGTTGAAGACTCTGGGACCCCTAATTGTCAAGGCAGGGATTCACAAGGCTATATGAACAGACTATTGGCTGACAGTCTGTATTTAGCATTGACAGAGAGATTCAAGTTAGTTGACTTTTGGCATTTCATTAATTTAAAATAATGATTCGCCCATTTTCATTGCAGATCTATCATTCCAAGTGAGATATCAGTAGTATAGGGAGATACACCGTTAGATACATAGCAATTTAATGGATTTAAAGTGGCAGAGAAATGTGTGCTTAGAATAACTTTATTGGGCTTTGGTTGCAACACTCAACTAAAGATAGAGCAACACACTCATGGATTCAGATAGTACCCTTACCACGATTTGTGGGCCATCACCAGGAATCAATGCTAACTATTTCTGTCATTGTAAAAAAAGGATGGTGAATAGAATGATTTTAGAACAGAACGCTACAAATGGAAACAGTGCATGTTCAGCTTTTTCCAGCTGCTATTCTGGTTTAAACCTTGAGTGGGAAATGTGTCTAAGACATTACATAAGCTGCACTCAAGTATAGAGTCACAATGAAATGTACAGTGCAGTGGGACAGAATTTCAAGTACTTTTATTTTGAGGTTATGCTGTTTCTTGGGCTAAGATAAGTGATGACGCATTAAACATTGAAATGTATATGACACTAGCCCTTTGTTTTGACTCTGACATAATCTATGTCCCATCGACTGCATCAGAGACTAGGACAGAAGATTTTAAAACAATTTTCATAATCACGTCGGTCTATTATGTGTTTAAACTGCCATACGTGGTTTGAGCAGCCGTAGAATGAGTACTTTGTAACTTTCTATCCTCCAATCTCTTTCCATCACCTTTGCTTGATCCCTCTTGTTCCTCTCTCTTCAGTAAAAGAGGGAGAAAACTCCAATGCCAAAATTGGGCACATGTGTAGCAGAAGTGTAAGTCATTAGGTATTCTGTTTACACCACACTAAAATAAATGGAGTGGTTTAAATTTGGGGATATCCAAAGCCCGGGGTACCAGCTGTCGGGTCATCGGTTTGGTAAGCTTCCACTCACATGTCAACAGGACAGGCTGTTTCCTAATTACTGCTGCAGAACGTGGTGTGGTCCGGTCCACTGCCGGGGGGGACAGAGGGAAGTGGAGGCAATGACGGGCTCAGCAAACTATTAGAGGGTTGAGTTAACTTTTGTGGAAGTACTGTAAACATCTCAATGGGCTGACATGGGACCTGGGCTCTGAAGCAGTATTTCAATTCACTTTCGTCATGGCCTCATGTATGACTGACATGGGTTTGTGTGGTCGTAGCAAGAAGAATTAAGAATAATTAAGAATGGTTGTTGGACTTCTGAATCTTTGGTTATTGTTTACATGCACAGAGAAATAAGTCGCAGCCCAATGAAAGACCGATTTAGTGTACTGCACTTTGAATTCCCTGGCATAGAGTATCTCTGCTGTCATGAATAAACCTGGTAATAGAAGACATTTGTACGCCTGTGATGACATGCCAACATCTACAACCCACACAAATGGATTAAAATGGAATCAGGTGTAGTTATGATTGCTGTAGTGATCTACTGTATGAGATGATAGTCTGTTGACATCACCTTGTAACCATAACCTTGTCTGACTGTTTGATGACAGGACAGTCAAAGAGTAGTTCCATGCTGCAGTGAATTGTGGGATACTTAACAGACATCCTGATCAGGTCTCTTATGACAATATGATTCTAGTTTTAGTATTTTACCAATGTTATGATGTTCACACAGGCCAACCAAAATCTGTATATTTGAGAAGCAAAAGTTCTAAATTAAGAGTAAATGTTGGGTAAATGTTTAAACAATGTATCAGCAGTCATAACATAACTTAACCCGTTACTGGAAGTCCTCTTCCCCAATCAGTAATGTACTAAGCCTCATGAGAACATGTGTGCTTCAACATAAAGTTTTCTGCCATCGAGAACAACCCTGTCAGAAATGTGTCGGCACTTTTCTTTTTCTCAGATTGGGCTGGGTGTGATGCAGGCTTAGCCATCCAGTCAAGATGCAGCACTTAACTATCCAGGTACACTGTAACAGGCGGACAGGGGCTTCCAGCAAAGCCAGGTCACCACAAAGCGAGAAGAGGCGCGGCGTAAGCCTCTGTATGTAAAGAAGGCCGCTGGGCTAACAGATTCCTGGATGAGCGCAGCCACACAGACACTGGCTGGGCTAAACAGTGCCTCTGACAGCAAGAGGGGTTAGTGGTCTCTAAAGGAAATGAAAAAGTGCTCACAGATGTGTGTGAACTTCTGTATAATGTAAGTCAGAAATAAATGAATTTGCACTTTTGCTGATGCTTGACCCACAAAGATAAATGTGGTAAAGATTGGCTTGTATTGGGATTCAAAGATGTAGTATTGATGTTTTGAAATACAGGATAGCTGAATGAAATGTTCTAGCCCTTTTCACTCTACACACACACAATGTAGATTGTTACTAACATATCCAGGCAATTCATTATTTATAAGTAGCACTGAAAGAAGAAAGAAGTAACATTTAATTATATTTACAAAAAAAATATTAAGTAGCCTACAACAACATGTTGTATAAGTGTAATAAGAGTGATTTGAATTATAATGTTGTTGTCTTGTATATCATTATAATTACAATTTAAGTGCAAAAAGTATGTATATGGTAAAGTGCAAGATCATAAACAGCTAATTAGCAGTACGTTTAATTTCCTGTCCCGGACATTTCCATCATTATCGATACATACAAATGTGCCAGTTTTCAATGAATCATATTGCAAGAACTAACTCACAAATATTTGAGCAGGGTGTGGAGTCCTAACCCTAACATCACATGTTGGAGTCAAATCTTGCATACCAAAGACTGATAAACAACCTCAAAGGACCACCATCCAGAGGAAGTGGGTATCTTGTACACATTAGCGCAACAATAATGGCAGAGGGTAAGGTTTGCTACCTGCAGAGTCAGGCGTTTCACAGCATCCCAGGCCTGGGCGATGAGCTCCTTCATCCTCTCCTCCGAGGTCGCCCAAGACTCCACTGCTGTGGTATCGGGCATCACTTTCATTGGGATGGACATGGGACGTGATTCTACAAAAAAAGAAATGACTTCAGTGCCGTGTATCAAGTATAAATGAGAATTTATTTTGTTCAAACTCCTGGTCCTGTGGTGAAGTAACCCAATTTACCACAGCATTAGAACAGAGTAACTTGTGTTCTACTTATATTAAATAAAATCATTATAAGGTACATGAGACTTTGTGCTGTCCTGCATTTATCCTTAATTGACCTCTACTAATAATGACCTTTTTTATCACTTGTACTGTATCATGTCATAGGATATTTAACTGACACTTCATCGAGGTGATGTAATGCTGACTCGCAGGTTTCTTGTCTCTTACAGAAGGCTAGAAAACCATGAGAACTGAGCAAATGTAAGCACACACAAAAACACACTGTTTTAGACATGACATATCCTAGTGTCCCTGCTGTGGTCCAGACAAAGGTCGATCGCTGGGCTGACACTAATGGCAACAGTCAAGCACACAAAGCACATGGTAACAACCGCTCAATTAGCCGTTAAACTAGGACAAAAAGGCCCTTCAGTGCTCAACAGAGAAGAAGACACAGAAAGGAGGGTAAGAGACACAGAGGTAAAGGAGGGTAAGAGACACAGAGATAAAGGAGGGTAAGAGACACATAGGTAAAGGAGGGTAAGAGACACAGAGATAAATGAGTGTAAGAGACACAGAGGTAAAGGAGGGTAAGAGACACAGAGATAAAGGAGGGTAAGAGACACAGAGATAAATGAGGGTAAGAGACACATAGGTAAAGGAGGGTAATAGACACAGAGATAAAGGAGGGTAAGAGACACAGAGATAAATGAGGGTAAGAGACACATAGGTAAAGGAGGGTAAGAGACACATAGGTAAAGGAAGGTAAAAGACACATAGGTAAAGGAGGGTAAGAGACACAGATAAATGAGGGTAAGAGACACAGAGATAAAGGAGGGTAAGAGACACAGAGATAAATGAGGGTAAGAGACACATAGGTAAAGGAAGGTAAGAGACACATAGGTAAAGGAGGGTAAGAGACACATAGGTAAAGGAAGGTAAGAGACACAGAGGTAAAGGAGGGTAAGCGACACAGAGATAAATGAGGGTAAGAGACACATAGGTAAAGGAGGGTAAGAGACACAGAGGTAAAGGAGGGTAAGAGACACAGAGATAAATGAGGGTAAGAGACACATAGGTAAAGGAGGGTAAGAGACACAGAGGTAAAGGAGGGTAAGAGACACAGAGATAAAGGAGGGTAAGAGACACAGAGATAAAGGAGGGTAAGAGACACAGAGATAAATGAGGGTAAGAGACACATAGGTAAAGGAGGGTAAGAGACACAGAGGTAAAGGAGGGTAAGAGACACAGAGATAAAGGAGGGTAAGAGACACAGAGATAAAGGAGGGTAAGAGACACAGAGATAAAGGAGGGTAAGAGACACAGAGGTAAAGGAGGGTAAGAGACACAGAGATAAATGAGGGTAAGAGACACAGAGATAAAGGAGGGTAAGAGACACAGAGATAAAGGAGGGTAAGAGACACAGAGATAAAGGAGGGTAAGAGACACAGAGATAAAGGAGGGTAAGAGACAAAGAGATAAAGGAGCGTAAGAGACACAGAGATAAATGACAGTAAGAGACACATAGATAAAGGAGGGTAAGAGACACAGAGATAAAGGAGGGTAAGAGACACAGAGATAAAGGAGGGTAAGAGACACAGAGATAAAGGACGGTAAGAGACACAGAGATAAAGGAGGGTAAGAGACACAGAGATAAAGGACGGTAAGAGACACAGAGATAAAGGAGGGTAAGAGACACAGAGATAAAGGAGGGTAAGAGACACAGAGATAAAGGAGGGTAAGAGACACAGAGATAAAGGAGGGTAAGAGACACAGAGATAAAGGAGGGTAAGAGACACAGAGATAAAGGAGGGTAAGAGACACAGAGATAAAGGAGGGTAAGAGACACAGAGATAAAGGAGGGTAAGAGACACAGAGATAAAGGAGGGTAAGAGAAGGGTGGAATGAGGCAGAACACACAGGTTAGCCTGAGGTCTGTGTGTGTTGAAGCCATCAGGGCGTCACATCGAGACATATTCCATGATTTTAAGGTCTGCCTTGCTCAGCAGCTCTATCCCACAGTTGTCATGAAGCAGTGGTGAGGTCATAGCACCGGCGTGCCTTCTCAGACACCAGGCTCCTAAATATCACTAAAACAGCCACATGGGTAGTCATGGCAACGAGTGTGTTGCCGGTGCAATGGACAAAAAGGATGGTTAGTTGTTCCCCTTGTTTGTTCTTGCCGTAGCAAACCTGCCTTCATCTTGTGGGTAGGAGAGTGCGTGTGTGTGTGTGTGTGTGTGTGTGTGTGTGTGTGTGTGTGTGTGTGTGTGTGTGTGTGTGTGTGTATAATTTTGTCTGGCATCTCTTAGTACTTTCTCACACTCAACATCCAGGTGCCCGTGGCATTCAGGGACTATGAAATGGACCAAATAGGTCACGATGCAATCAGTGTTGCATCATTACGTACTAAGCACATTATTTGCCCATACTGTACATTTTAAACATTTGATTACCCACATTTTCCAATATGCCTTCTCTCTCATTCTTATTTGTCAGCTACATTGTTTCAGTGAGTCTTGCACAAAACCAATTCAAATGTGCGTATACTTTACTTAATGTCCGCCGTCACTGAAAATGGACAGGGCAGACTGGGTTTCATGGCTTCATGTCTTTGGTTGACTAGTCTGCCGAGAGTGCTGTATTAACCGCTGCAGCTGTGTAGTGGATCCTTACATCCTTACAGAGCTGAGGCTGCTCTCTATCGTCAGTTCAAACCCTCACTAATCATCCTTGATGAAATCTTAATGTAGACAATGACCTACGTTCTGACCATCAGAGACATCAATACTGCTCACACACTATTGTGCCATGTCCCTCCAATTCACAAAAATAATCAATTGCCAACCCAGTGCCACAAAAAGAGCTATGTTGGTCCACAGGGCAAAACGTAGTAAAAACCCTCTCAAATTGTGACATGGTGATGGAGCAGGTCTGTGAAGCAGGGGAGGGGCCTGGTGGTGGAGCAGGTCTGTGAAGCAGGGAGGGGCCTGGTGGTGGAGCAGGTCTGTGAAGCAGGGAGGGGCCTGGTGGTGGAGCAGGTCTGTGAAGCAGGGAGGGGGCCTGGTGGTGGAGCAGGTCTGTGAAGCAGGGAGGGGGCCTGGTGGTGGAGCAGGTCTGTGAAGCAGGGAGGGGCCTGGTGGTGGAGCAGGTCTGTGAAGCAGGGATGGGCCTGGTGGTGGAGCAGGTCTGTGAAGCAGGGAGGGGCCTGGTGGTAGAGCAGGTCTGTGAAGCAGGGAGGGGCCTGGTGGTGGAGCAGGTCTGTGAAGCAGGGAGGGGCCTGGTGGTGGAGCAGGTCTGTGAAGCAGGGAGGGGCCTGGTGGTGGAGCAGGTCTGTGAAGCAGGGAGGGGCCTGGTGGTGGAGCAGGTCTGTGAAGCAGGGAGGGGGCCTGGTGGTGGAGCAGGTCTGTGAAGCAGGGAGGGGCCTGGTGGTGGAGCAGGTCTGTGAAGCAGGGAGGGGCCTGGTGGTGGAGCAGGTCTGTGAAGCAGGGAGGGGCCTGGTGATGGAGCAGGTCTGTGAAGCAGGGAGGGGCCTGGTGATGGAGCAAGGCTGTGAGGGAGGGAGGGGCCTGGTGGTGGAGCAGGTCTGTGAAGCAGGGAGGGGCCTGGTGGTGGAGCAGGTCTGTGAAGCAGGGAGGGGCCTGGTGATGGAGCAGGGCTGTGAGGGAGGGGGGGGCCTGGTGGTGGAGCAGGTAATACATCTTCGGCTGACTCAATATGAAAGTCAGCTGAATTAGTATTGATACTGCAAGGAGACGTATTGTGTGAAGAGAAATGAAAGATGTTGTTTAATTGCTGATATATTTATGATCCACGTCATGTATTCAGTTTCGCTGTGGGAGTTCTTCCAGTTTGTCCAAAAGTCTTCTAATCAGGGCTCTATAAATAAAGAACTACGGCAGATGTGTAATATTTAATATAGCCGAACCATTTTTTTAAATGCATTTATGTCATGACTTTCAAAGAGAAAAGCAAGCACACGCGGAATAAAGTATGATTTTTTTTTTTTTAAAACATTTTGTTTTTCTTATTGTGTAAACTACAACTCCCGAGGTGCACCGCCACTAAAACAATCACCTCGCTTGTTGACTAATTCTGAGGTTTGTCAAGCAAAGAGGACTGGCGGTGTCTTCACAACGATAGCTGGGGATTATGTGTAGTGTAGTTTCAACCAATTTAAACCAATCAATGTTGTGTAATTAACAAGGAAAAACTGGTGTTTTTTAGTTGATGAGTAGAGCAGATATCACTGTGAAATCATTTGACAGGAAGGACAATACTTACTTCCTGATGTATGCAGCGAGAGCCCTAGCAACCACCTTGGTTACTGTGAAAACTCAGAGACCAGAAATACTGTTTTCACGCCATGAGAGTTGACGATAACTTGCCATGGATGCTGGTCAATAATAATCAATAGGGGGAAAGACGTATGTCACAATTTCAGAGTTTATTTTTGTTAACATACTACGTTTTGCCCTGTGGACACATTTTTTTGTGTGACTGGGTTGCTATTACACACCATAATATTGTTAGTGTGTGTGAGTGAACCCTTCATGACTAGAAGTTGGAGACTGTTTTGCTGTGTGTGTGAATATGCTTATATGAGTAGGTATGCAGCGTGCTACATGCACTATGAACTCACATAAAGCTGTAGAACTAATTGTATAATGCACAACATGCAGTGAGTATAATACATGTGGTTATAATTCTTTTTGGCAGACCAACATCAGCAGACCCTGAATTTCAGCCAACAATTGCAGCAATTACCATTAAATTCAACTTTTTACACTAACCTTCTTCTACCTTTCATTCAAATGTATACCATATTCAAATCAAGTCGTGTTCTAGAGGAACCCATCAATATTTTTGATGTTTTTACTTAGTGGCCAGGCCTCAACGTTGGTATACTTGCTGCAG